TGAAAATAATTGAATTTCTGCTATCATTTGTAAGTTTTCTAAAAGAATTTAATTATTTTAGTGTTTTTAACTTAAATTCATATTTAAATTTATTTTTTATTCATAATAATTTATTGAATTCGATTAAAATTGTAATTTTGCGTTGAGTTTTTCTTTCTATTTTTCAGAAATATAAATTCTTTAACATTTCTAATTCTAATAAATTCATTGTTAAAGATAATTAAATTATTGTCAGAAATGGAAAAAATGTAAGGTTTTGTTTTTGAATTCGTGGTAATTTCCTAGTTTATGAGGCAAAAAAAAAAAAATTTGATTCAAATAACTGATTACTTGTCTTATCATATAGGTATATATTTACTTAAATGAAATAATTTTTATTTGAATCAAATAAATATTTACTTGAGTCAAATAATTTTTATTTGAATCAAAATAATAAATATTCAATTGAATGAAATAAATATTCACTTGAATCAAATGATTTCCATTCGTATCAAATTGAATTTTAAATAAAATGTATTTGAATCAAATAATTTCAGTATTTATGACAATGAAGTAAATATGAATATTTGATTAAAATATTAATCAAACATTTTAATTGATTAAAATAAAAATTATTTGATTGAAGTAAATATTAAAATTGATAATTGTCAAGTAAGCAGTAATTTGAATCAAATAAAATTTTTTTTTGCAGTGCATAGAAAGAGAATTGGAAAAGAAAGTTTTGAAAAAAATTTTTTAAAATTTGTTATCTGTGTTTTAACTAAAGCACACATACTGCGTTATTGTCGGAACACTCCCTTTTGTTTCCGGAATTCTATTTTTCTAACATAAAAGCTGTCACTGCGCGAATAATGTTGGAAAGTGATCTAAAACATTTTAAAAAGAGAATAAAATTCCTCTGCTGTTTTTAATTACCAATCATGTTTAACAAAGGCAAAAATAGCCGATGATAATAATATTCTTCAAGTAATCAATGAGAATTAACAAATTTTTATTTTTCGACACAATCAAATTAAATTGACTTGAGTGTCATATTTGGCATTTTCAATTCTAATTCAGACACAGGAAATAGAAAATAATGTCGTTCAATTTTTATTTCGTGAATATTTTCAACTTTTCATCTGAAAATAATTTTAAAAAAAAGTCAGTCTCTAATTGAAATTAATAAAAATTTCTACTAATTAAAATTTAGAGAGGAATTCGTGTAAACTTCACTATTTTTATTTATCAATATTTTATGTAAAAAAATGGTGCTCTTTTAAATTAATTTTACTTTGTCAGATCACTGCGGGACTATTTTAGGGAATAGAGAGATTGACCATCGATTGATCGGCGGTGTGGTCCACACGTTTAGTGGATGTATATAAATGAAGGAGTCAAAGGTTTAACAGTCTTCTCACACCTATCACACTCAATTACCCAGGGCCGTTAAAAAAAAGGAAAATAAAGCAAAAAAAAAAAAAAAAAAGGTGGCAAAGTGGACTTTCTAAAATAAACTGAACTGTGAGAAAAGGAGTGATGCTATAAATTTAGATAAAGTTAGGAGCCAATTTTCTTCTTGTTAACGTTTTCTTGCCCCGCGAGCAAGAAAAGAAGTTAATTTAACGGATATACGGATTTGGGATTAGGTGTTAAAAGTTAGTTACAGCATAGTGAGCTTACAAGATTACAGGACTTTGGTATTTGATCTCACGATTTAATTACAAAAGAGCAAAACAAGTTCACTTCTTTTTTAAAAACTCAATTTCTTCCATTGGTACTTTGGTAGGTATTGATTTTATCTAACATTTATTTTTTATTTATTTAATTTTTTCCATTGGTTTAATATTTATTTTTTTTTTCATTTTATTTATTTTTTATAATTTAATTTGTTCCTTTCGTATTGATTTTAAATAATATTTATTATTTTTTTTATTTATTTTTAATAATTTCATTTCTCTCAGTCTTTTTGATTTTATATGATATTTATTATATAATTTTTTTTTATTTCTATTATTACCTACATTATCAGGGTTCGGATTGTACGACTTTTTCGACATTTTTTACATTTTTTTTAAAAAAAAATGCGACTAATTGACTTTTTTCTGATTTTTCTGAATAAAATGCGACTAATCGACTTTTTTCACATTTTTCAATTACTTTTTGACTTCAATTTTAAATAGCAGAAATAATTTTTGTTGTTGAAATTATTCAATTATTATAAAGAATTTCATTAAAATTTTTTAAAATAATTGATTTCTTTCAAATAATTTTATTAAAGTTCTTAAGAATAGTTGCATTTTTCAAGGAATTCATTTAAAATTGTACTTATTAAAAATAATTGAAATCCTGCGATGAGTTTTCATATTTATAAAAATAATTAAATTCTTGCAATGATTATTATTAAAATTTTTAAAAATAATTGAATTCCTGAGAAGAATTTCATTATTTATAAAAATAATTGAATTCTTGCAAAAATATTAGAAAAATTCTGTTTTAAATAATTGAATTCTTGTGAAAATTTTTTTATTTATGAAAATAATTGAATGTTTGAGAAGAATTTTATAAACATTTTTTTTAATTATTCAATTCTTTTGGAAATTTTTTTACTTAAAATAGTAGGTAGATATTAAAAATCATTGAATTACGAAAAATTTGTAAAAATAATTGAACCGTTTTAAAGAATTTTATTAAAAATTTTTAAAATAATTTTTTTATTTCAAATGTTAACAAATTTTGAGTTTTAACTCATTCTTTTCTTTTGGAAAAGAAACATTACATATTCCCGTTTCTTAATATTTTTGTAGAGAATTCTGAATTTTCATAAGGAAATGATTTGCATCATTTTCTATTTCTTCATTACAATTGCTTTAATAAAATTTTAAGTTTTTTAAAAAATATTTGTCAATTATAAATTTTAATTGAAACTTTTTAAATTTTTAGAAAATAAAGGAAAAAATTTTATTCAAAAAAAAGTTCTGTTACATTTATTTACAAATTTCTTTAATTGTAAAATTATTCGAAAACATTAATAACTTATTTTTTAAATAAATATTTAATTATTATTATTTTTCCATAGGAATTAAGATTTTTTCAAATTTTAAATTCAAACATTTTTTAAATTAAACATCTTTTTAAAAAATTGTTATAAAACATGAAGAAATCGATCACTCCGAGTCTTCGACTCGGAGCAATCGATATCTTCATGTTTTATAATAATTAAAGATGACCGAGTGATAAAATCATTATTTTATATTATAAGAAAATTGTTACTGTAGATAAATTCTTCAAAATGATTTTCATCATTTTAATTAAATTATTATTTTCTAGAATTTTTAATTATTTTTTATGAAAATAATTCAATTTTTTAAAAAAAATTTTATTATTTATGAAAATAATTTACAGTTTTGCGTAGAATTTTATTAAATTTTTTTTAAATAGGTAATTAAATTCCTTTGGAAAATTTTATTAAAATAGTAGATATTAAAAAATCATTCAATTGAGGAAAATTTTTAAAAATAATTGAAATTTTGCAAAGAATTATATTAAAATGCCTAAAAATAATTAAATTTTCGGGAATAATTTTGTAATTTATCGACATAATTGAATTCTTTAGAAGAATTATATATGTAAATAATTGAATTCTTGGGAAGAATTTTATTAAAATCTAAAAGAATAATTGCGTTATTTCAAAATAATTTTATTAAAATTGTATTTAAATTTTAAAATAATTGATTTCTTACAAACAATTTTATTAAAATATTTGAAAATAATTGAATTCCTGAGAAGAATTTTATTATTTATGAAAATAATTTAATTATTGCGAAAAATTTGATTATAATGTTTTAAAAAAATTGAATTTCTGTGAAAAATGTTGTTATTTTTGAAAATAATTGTATTCTTCATAAGAATTTTTATAAACATTGCTTTAAATAAATAATATTTTCGAAATATAATAAATATTATGAAAATTTTATTTTAATTAATTGAATTCTTGTGTAAAACTTTATTTGTGAAAATAATTGAATTTTTCGATTAATTACTTTAAAATAGTATTAAAAACAATTGAAATTCTTCGATGAGTTTTATATTATTTATGAAAATAATTGAATTATTGCGAAGAAATTTATAAAAAATTTGTAAATAATTAAATTCCTGTGAAATTTTTTGTTATTTATGAAAATAATTAAATGTTTGCGTACAATATTATTAAATTTCTTTTTATAATAAAAAAATAATAGAAAAAATAAATTTTTCAATAAATAATAATCAAATATATTTTTCGATTCATTTAAGTATTTTTTTGCTTTAAAAAATAATTATTACGATTAAAAATTATTTTTATGTCTCATTACAAATAAAAAAAACTGCAAATAAAATATTTGTCGAGACATTAAAATTGTGTTTTTATTATTTTAATATTTTACTTGACATGTGCCTTAAATTGTGGTATAGTTTATTTTTATTTTCTGCAATATGTCAGCGGAAAAAAATTGAAAAGAAAATGAAAAGAATAATAATTTTTAATCACTGTTTAAATGTCATATAATAAAGTTTGGAATGTTAATTTATAAACGTTGAAGCAAAAAAGACGACAAAAGGGAATTAATTTTTAACCATTTTTTTAATGTCAGCGACATTTTTAAAAGTCAATAAAGTTTAGAACGTTTTTTATAAAAATTGAGGCGAAAAACGATATTCATTTTTATAGTTTGATTAGCTGTATTTTAGTTTTGTTTATTTTTTCTGTTATAGAGAAAATGTTTATTTTTTAAATGAAATTTTCTTCTTGTTAAGAAAATAAAAGGAAAAGAAAAATAATAATTTATTGGAATTGAAGTTAATTTTTTTTTAAATTTGTTTAATTTGTTTATATAGTTACAATTTTAATTTTGTTTAGAAATTTTAATGATAATTAAATAAAATGGAATTTTTTTGAATTTTATGTTATATTATATATTTTCTGAAAATAATGATTAAGTTTCAAAGGATTTTTCTTTCCGTTTGAAAATGGAACTTACTTCGTCACTCCAATTTGATCTTCAATTTCCACAGTTCCTAAATGACGATATCCTGCGAACAGCATCCGATTTCCTTTGACTCCTGAACCTCTTCCATCAATTGCCGCGTAAATGATGCTTTTGTTTGTAACCAAATAATTCCCCCAATCGATGTTGAATTTCTCTGTCACTTGATGTGAATCTGGTCCACCGTATCTGAAAATAATATTATTAATTAGTAATTTCAATTTAAATACCTAAATTTTAAATAATAATTGTACTCAAAGACAATTCAGTTTTCGAAATTAAGATTAATGGTATTAATACCTATTTTTAAATTTCATTAAAAGTTAAAAAAAACAAAACATCATATTAAGTAGAGACTTAAATTTTGAAAGACCTACTTTTTACCAACATAAAGGGTAAAGATTAATATTTTATTTAATTTTTGTTTAAAAGTTCAAGAACAAAGGGTCATATTTAAATATAAAATTTTGAAAGACCTAAAATTTATATAAGGAGTAAAGATATTAATATTACATTGAATTTTTTTATTAAAAGTCAAAGAACAAAAAGGTCACATTTAAAAAATAATATTTTTTCTCATTTCGAATGAGAAATGAAAAATTTGAGAAAAGGGAGAAGAAATTTATTTTTTAAAAAGAAGCTTAATTTGTTTTTTTTATTCGGTTAGGAGAATATGGTTGAGGTAGTTCTTGCAAGTGAAATGTATATGTAAAAAGGATTTTCTCTTCGTTTAGAATTCTCTCGAAATCCCTTTCCTCGATGCTTTTAGATCTTCAACTCATGTTCGTCTTTTTAGAGAAAGAGAGAGAAAAAAAATGAAAGAAAAGAGGAGGAAGAAAAAAAAATTTTGCAGATAGTGAGTATTTACAATCCGGATGAATTTTAAGTAGACCTCTTCATTTCATTTTTGATCTGCGATTCAGGGAAATTTAAAAAAAAAAAATTGTCGAGAATAGTTTGGAAAGAAAAAATGTAGGGAATTATTTTATCGATTTATAATTGAATTCTTTTTTTTTCGATATCAAGAAGCAAGATTCAATCTGGTGGAAAATTTGGTTTAAAAATCATTTCTGTTGTAAGATGAAATGTCTTGGAGAGTTTTATTGACAAATGAAGTGTCAAATTTTTACTCGAGTAAGAGAAACTGTGACTAGTTGAAATTAAATTTATGATTCGATGGGAATTGACAATTTTTATTCGGAATTTCTTTATTAAAAATTGGAAGTAAATTTTTTTTTTTTATAACAGACAAGTTACATTTTTTCAGTGTATACTAATTTACGTACAATTTGTTTCTAATAAAAATTGTATTCGGTACAAGTCAAATTTTTATTTGAACTAAATAAAATTTATTTGGGACAAATAAAACTTTTTTGGAATAAATAAAATTTATTTGAAACAAATAAAACTTTTTTGGAAAACAAATAAAATTTATTTGAAACAAATACAACTTTTGGAGCAAATAAAACTTTTTTGTAACAAAACAAAATTTATTTAAAACATAGGTATTTATTTTTAGCAAATAATTAATTCAGACAATGAAATAATATTTGTTATTTTAAATATATATTAAAAATTATTGATTTGAATATATTTAATTTGACTCGAATCAATTATTTTCAAAAAAAATTTTTAATTAAATTCCTCGGATGAATTTAAATATTTTTTAAATATTTCCATAAATTTCAATTATGTCCTAAAATTTTAATAAATTCTTCGAAACAATTCAACTATTTTTATAAATACTAAAATTCTTTGCAGGAATTAAATTATTTTTAATCAAATTTAAATAAAATTACATGAGAGAATTTAATTATTTTCAAAAATTTCCACAAGAATTTCAACAAGAATTAAAAATTCTCTAAAAATAATTCAATTATTCTCAAAATATTTTTAAAAAATTCTTTAAAGAAATTCCATTATTTTCAAAACAACTTTAATTGGATTTCTCGAAAAAATTTCATTATTTTCAAATATTTTTAAAAAATTCTTCATAATAATTTAATTATTTCTTAAAATTTTAATAAATTCTTCGAAACATTTGAATTATTTTTATAAATATAGTAAAATTCTTCGCAATAATTCAATTATTTTTATAAATAGTAAACTCCTTTGAAGGAATTCAATTATTTTCAAAAAAAAAAATTTTAATTAAATTCCTCGGATGAATTCAAATATTTTTAAATATTTCCATAAATTTCAATTATGTCCAAAAATTTTAATAAATTCTTCGAAACAATTTAACTGTTTTTATAAATAGTAAAATTCTTCTTCATAAAATTCAATTGCTTTCAAAATTTTCAAATAAAATTATTAAAGAAACTCCATTAGTTTAGAAAAAAATTCAAAAAAAATTCTTCAAAAGAATTTAATTAGGATTTTTAAAAATTATTTGTAAATAATTGGATTCTTTTTGGGAAATTTTATTAAAGCAGTAGTTATTAAAAATCATTGAAATTGGAAAATTTTTTGAAAATAATTGAAATTAGGACAAGAATTTTTTTGACATTAATTTATGAAAATAATTGAATTTTAGAGAAGAATTTTGTTATTTACAAAGATAATTGGGATTTTTACGAGAATTTTTTTTTCAAATTTTGAATATAGTTGAATTTTATTTTTTTTTTTAAATAATTGAATTTCTGCAATTATTTGTAATTTCTCCAAAATTGAATTTTTTTATTGTTTTCAACAAAAATTTAAATTAGAAAATTTTTAAATTCTATTATTTTTAAAATTGCTAATTTTATTTAAAAAAGGCAGTAAGAAGTTAGAATTGTTGCTATTAGTTGATTTAAATAAATACTAATTAAGCAATTTATTAAAAACAAATAAAAAATTTTTATTTGGCACTGAGACAAATATTTTTTTTCTGGGTGTAATTATACTTGAATTGTTGAATATTTCGGATAATTATAAAAAAAATTGAAGTCATTAATTATTATTCTTTTAGAAAAATGGTAGTAATTACAGAATATTAATTACGAATGAAAATTCAAAATGTATTTCAGTGAAAAATATGGTAATTAAAATTATGCTAATTAAAAATTTTAAATGAAAAATTTGCTTCTTTTTATAGTAAAGTTTTGAGTTTTGAACATTGAAATAAATGAAATTAGTTTTCTGTACAAAAATTACTATATTGTACTGAAAAATATTACTTAATTAAATTTTTTAATTTTCAAAATAGTTTTTCTTGTGAAAAAATACAAATTTCCAGTAGCACTTAAAATATCGTCGATTATTTGATTTTTTGAAACTTTAGGAACATTATTTTTCTTTTTTGTTCTTTTTTTAAAAAGAATTTTTTTATTTACCTACATTGTTTATTATTAATTTTTGTCGATATTTAATTAAAAATGAAGTTTTATTATTTTTCTCTATCTCATTATTTACTAAATAAATAAAATAAATATTAAATTTAATTAATTAAAATTTATTATTTATTAATACAATGTTAGTAATTTTGAAAAATATTTTTATTTATATTTTAATTTTAATTTTAAATTAACTGAACAAAAACAGTAAAACTTCGTTATAATTAATTCTCATCAAAAAACAATAATAAATAGTACAGTTAAATAAATAATAAATTTTTGTTTCCTTAAAAGACATTTTATTTGTACCAAATAAATATTTTATTTATTTATTTAAATACATAAACGGTCTTACAAAAATAAAATATTTTATATTTATTTTCTAATCCGCAAATATGGTAGTTATAAAATAGTGAGTGTTCGATTTTTTGTAATATTACACAATTCCAGTTTAAGTTATAATTTTAAGAAGAAAATGTTTATGTTTATTAGTTTAGAGAGATTTTTTTTTCGTTTTATGTACGTAAAATTAACGTTCTCTGTTGGTGTTTATGAGAATCCTACATTTATATGTTGGTAGTAAAAACAGTGAAGGCAGAGACAGTGAAGTATTTTATCATCGTATTTTCCAGGGTTTCAGTAGTGTTTTCTAGAGACAGAACAATTTTTTTTTTCGTGGTAGACAAGCTTAAGTAAAGAGTGCAGTGATTAAGCTCAGTGTAGATGGTTTTAGAGAAAATGCAAGCAGGGACGAATTCAGAGGCAGGAAAAGTGGCTTCACAAAGAGGCAGTTGGAATAATTACACTCTGAGAATATTTAAGCTCTGAATAGGCACCTATTCTCTCTATACAATTTCCTTTTGCTAAAAGGGTCTTACGCTCACTTAAAAAAAAAAAGAATAATAGAAAAAAAATCATTCAATGAACAATCTAGTTTTTTTTATTCGCAACAGGTTAAAAGTTGAGTTTTTAAATGGGGACAATTAACTTACTTTTGAGGCGTAATAAATTTGGATAATATTATTGTTTGATTTCATTAAAATAAATTTTATTTGGTTCAAATAAAATTTTATTTTATTTTTTATAAAATTTTATTTACAATTAAAATTTTATTTAGTTCAAATAAAATTCTTATTTGTGTCGAATAAAATTTTCATTTGATAAGAAATAATTAAATAGATTCTGAGACAAACATTCTTTAATTTAACTCAAATAAATAATGCTTGGTTTAGATAAAATTTCCCTCTGGATTTTTCATTATGTTTGTCTGCAATTTGAATTAACTATATTGATTCTGAATTTTTTATAATGTTGATTTAACTTCGCCTATTTAATATTGAATTGCAATTACCCGTAGTATAATAAAGTTCCATTAAAAAAGTATTAAATTCTCTTTTACTCACATTTTAACTACTTTTTTAACGTTGCAATAAAATACGCGTTAGCTGATTAAAGAACAATGTATATTTTATACTTTAGACATTTAAAGAAATCAGAATCACGTTGTGAATTATAAAATTACCATAAAGATTGCTATTTTCTTTCTTTCGCAATTTTTATTTTCTGCAACAATTTAAAAAAAATGTGAAAATAAAGTAAATACAATAAATTAACGAAGAGAAAAACAATTTTTATTTGATTCTTTATTATACGAAAGAAAAAAACAAAAGTTTTGAGAACGAAAAAACCTTGTGAATAAAACAATTGAATTTTTATAATTATGAAAGTTTTTGTGCAAAAAAATTTTTGACTTTATTACATTCTTTTATCTTTTCTTCATAAACAAAGAGAAAAAAAATTGAAATTCGTAAATTTCGAATTTCAATGGAATAATAATTTTCACTATACCTTTAATAAAAAAAATGTAGGTAT